CCTACAATGACGGCGGAAAGAAAATTGTGGATAAAATTGCAACAGTGTGCAAGCATTGTGCAACACGTTTTGTTTATGCTAACAGCAACATGACCAACATGTCAGGCTAACAATCAACATATACCGAACCGAAAACCATGACCACGAAACCGTGAACCGAACCGTGGATTTTGTGAACCGTTCCACCCCTAGAATGTATAAATGTTTTGCAGTTAAGATAAAAAGAGTGTTTTTTTTTATCAATCTGCTCTATCTAGAACTCCTTAAGTGGAAAATTCTTAGATTCGACTGGTTTAATTTTGTAAAAAATCAAATTTTAGGAACCTTTTGCTATCTGATTATTAATCGAAAAATAATCAACAGATTGATCAATTTGCAAAATAATCATTAGTTGCAGCCCTAATAAGAATCATTTAAGGCCTGTCTCCTTAAAGCCTGGTTCTGGTTCTGCTGGAGGTTTTCCTCTCCACTGTCACTGCATACATGCTCAGCGTGAGGGATTGCTGCAGAGTCAACAACAAAATGCAAGGAATTATCTAGTGTCTCCATCCTCATCCAGCAGGAGAGAAGGCTGCACCTTAAATCTGACCGGGGGATCTGATTGAACTAGATCTATAAGGTGTGAATTGACGCTACAGAAATAAACTGAGTTATTTGAAGTATGCAGACTGATTGACTCATGGGTTAACCTGATCCCCATTTATTCATGGATGAACGCACCCACAGTCCTGCTGATTTTCTGCTCTGTGTCTCGTCTTCGTTTTGAAGGTTCATTAGAAACCTGACTTTCTGACACCGATGACCATAAATCTTTGTCTCGCCTGGTGGCTGTTTGTGTTTGCAGGGAAACGATGCTCCAAGCTTTGAGGTTTGTCATCCAGGGGGCCGGAGCCAAAGTGGACCCGACCATTCGAAAGAACATCACCAGCACATTACTGGGCATGCTCGGACACGACGAGGTATGTGAGCACGGGGCGGACGCCTCGCAGCGTCAATCAGAGCCGGAGACGTTCAAGCTGCGGCCGCAGCTTCTGGTCGCTGTGAGAAAAAGACTAATAAGGAGAGCAAACGCATGAAGGCAGTTTGGAGGAGCTGCTGCAGAGGAACGCTGCATTTTCTCTCTGAACGCTGCAGAAAAACGGAAGCCAGACAAAGGATGTGGTTTTCTGAATAGGTGGTTTTGAGTCTTCATGTCTCTCTGTAACACAGAGCCTTTCTCTGTCTGTCTGCAGGATGCAACACGTATGGCCTCGGCAGGCTGCATCGGCGAGCTGTGTGCCTTCCTGTCAGAGGAGGAGCTGAAGACTGTCTTACTTCAGCACGTCTTAGGTTTGTTAGTTTAAATAAGTCTATAAACAATAAAATCTAACTTTACTGCACTTTTGGAGACATTAATAAATAATACACATCAATGCAGAGATGAGGAGAATGCTTTGAAGCGTAGAAGCGTTCGTAATCTGGATGTTTTTACTCCGTTCTGATGCTTAAATAGATCTGAATTAAAATAATCATTCATCAAAAGCAATCTGATGTAGTGAAGGTGATTTAAGGTCACTTTTGCTGCTTCTCTTCTGTGATTGGCCTCTATTTGGCTCCGCCCACCTTCCCTTAAGTCAGCCCACAGCATAATGCCGCCATCACCATTCATTGCCGTCCTGTCAGCTCGTGTTTTTTGCAGAGGAAACGGCAGCATAAGCACAGAAAATAATCTATTTTAGTTAATGGTGGTTTCCATGGTGACTGAGGTTTCTCTGCCTCCCTTCAGCCGACGTGTCTGGCGTGGACTGGATGGTGCGTCATGGTCGCAGCCTGGCCCTGGCCATAGCTGTGAAGGCTGCTCCCGACAGGCTGTGTGGAAAGGATTACGGTGAGACGGTGACAGAAACCATTTTGACCAACGCCACAGCTGACCGGGTGAGAACGCAGCAGCCGCACGCCTTCCCGATAAACGGGATATTTTATGGAATTCTCCCGGTGACCTCTGTGGGGTTTCCTCGTCCTCCTTCCAGATTCCCATCGCTACCAGCGGCATCCGAGCTTTGGGATATCTGATGAGGCATCATCTGCGGACGGAAGGAGGCAGCAGCGGCGTCTCCCAGCGCGCCGTCCCCCACTTTGTTAAGGTGAGACCAGACAAGCCGACACATTTGGCTGGTAACCTCAGTCACTTCCCTTTTTTTATTCCTGCAGGTGAGGAAAAGTGGGAAGTGGGTGAACAGAAATGATCCCGCTTCCGTTTGTCTGACCGTAAATGACCAATGATCTTTGGAGGAAAGTTGCAATCATTTTGAGATGTTTGTAGCAGCGCCAATAATCAGGAATCCTGATGAGAATTAGAAAGTCCAAAGTTACGCTGTTTTAAAAAAAAACTTTTCTGCTGAACTAAAGTCAGACGAAAGTTTGAACAGATCTGAGAAGAGTAACAGTTTATTTATTGCTGGGGGTGTAACTGGATCCGTCTCACCAGTTTGGTGCAAACTAAGCGGAAAGTTACCGGAGATTCTCCTGTGTTTCCTCTCTTTTTTTTTCTTTGGTATAACCAACCAATGCTCACACAGATTTCCCTTTTTCTGTTGTTGTAGTTCTGCACATGAGATAAGGTTCAAGTTCAAACATTTCTAGTAAAATAAACACAAACGGTCGTCTGGTTGAACCACTCTGGAGGTTATGGTCCTAAAAATAAAGTTTCTACCTGGATTTAATGAAGCAAATATGCATGAGCTTCTAATTGGAGAATGGCTGCATCCTGTAGAGGAGAAGTCCTATGCTGCGTCCAAACTAGGGCTGAAACAATTAATCAGATTAATTCATTATTGAAATAATCATCAACTAATTTAGTAATCAATTGATCGTTAACGGGAATATAGAGACTGTAAAA